TATCAAGTTCAATCTGAAGTTTCCCATAAAAAATAATATAAAACAGGGTATCAACATATTTACTTTGTATTGTTTCATTTCTCATGTGTCTTCGGAAGATGGGTTTCATCTGAATGGGGAGTGGCAGAAAGGGGAGTGGCAGAAAGGGGAATGAGAAGTGGCAGGGGATGCGACAAGGGTGCATGAAAGGAATGGGGAGGGGATGGTAAGGGTAATAGAAATGAAGGGGCAGGGTAGTAGAAAGGGGAGTGGCTTGGGAGTATAAAGGGGAGCGGCAGGGGAGTAAAAAGAGAAGTGGCACAGGTGGCACAGGAGAAGAAAGGGGAGTGGCATGGGAGTTGAAAGGGGAGTAGCACAGGAGAAGAAAGGGGGTAGAAAGGGGAGTGGCATGGGAGAAGAAAGGGGAGGGGCAAGGGAGTACAAAGGGGAGTGGCACAGGAGTGGAAAGGGGAGTAGCACGGGAGAAAAAAGGGGGGGGTAGAAAGGGGAGTGGCAGGGAAGTGGCACGGGAGAAGAAAGGGGAGTGGCAGGGGAGTAAAAAGAGAAGTGGCTTGGGAGTAGAAAGGGAGTGGCACAGGAGTAGAAAGAGGAGTGGTAGGGAGTATAAAGGGGAGTGGCAGGGGAGTAAAAAGAGAAGTGGCTTGGGAGTAGAAAGGGGGTAGAAAGGGGAGTGACAGGGGAGTAGAAAGGGGAGTGGCATGGGGAGTAAGAGGGGGAGTGGCAGGGAAAGAAGGAAGGGAATGGCAAGGGAGTGAAGAGGGAATGACAGAGAAGTGGGAGGGGATGGCAGGGGAGTGGAAGTTGGAAGAGTAAGTGAAAATGGTAGTTTAGTGAGAAGAGGAATGAAATTACAACCAAAAAGAAAAGAAAGTATTCCTAGAAGTGAAGAATGAAAGGGGTGTAAAAACTGTGCTACCAAAAGACCTGTAATTTATTTCAATGTTACAGATTTGTTCTTCTTCATGTACTACAGTTGGTCTAAATTTTAAAAATCCAGGGATATTTTCTTGTATTCTATCAAAGCTGTATTAATAATCAACTGCATGTTTCAATATTGAATGTCATTTTAAGGAGGGTGAAACAAAGTGTTGTTTGTCCAATGTTTCATCTGATCTAGAGTGCAGTCACTGCAGCGGGAGGTTAACCAAAACTATCAAATCACATTACCCCATTTCTTGAAAAGGCACCTAATGTGTGGGCAAAGACACCTGATGAGTGGAAAAAGAACCCTCGCCAAATGTAACCACCACTTCAGATAATCCTGACACACGTAAAATATGAGTCATCAGAAAATACTTGGTAAATCCCAACCTCTGCTCTTTGAAACTCTACCAAGAAATTGCGCAATTTCTTCCCCACTTTTCTCTCTCTGTCTCTCTCTGTCTCTCTCTCTGTCTCTCTCTTACTCATAGACATGTGTTTGGCTCCATCTGTTCATTGTTTACATACAATAAATATATACAGTATGTGTACGTGCCAGAGATCCATGTGTGCCTATTCAGTATTTGCTCTTAAGTCTTGACAGAACCGCAACATAAGCAACAGCTACATGTAGGTGATATTCAGGTGAAACACATGGAAGGGTTTGCAATACAGATCTACATGTACATGTACCTGTAATAAAGGAACAAGTTGTCAGCACAACAAACAATTTTTTTTTTTTTAAAGGAGGAAGTACATGTACAGTATGTCTTTTCCAATTTGCTACAAAACAAGCACAATTTCAAAGCAGCATTTTTTTCCTTGCTGTATTGTTATGGGTTTAACACAGCTCTTCTTTAGTTTAGTTTTTTAAATAAAAGTTAAATTACCTACTGCTTTTAATCATTCCCCCCCCCCCCCCACTGTTTATACTCCCTTGAGACTATTTTGATAATTCATAAGAAAGTCATAAGTTTCATATTTAACTGTATTAAATACTATGCACCTGTTTCAGATTTTCATCAAATTTGTTAATATAATTACTGTCATAATATCTGTGCATTAATTGACATCTCTCCAAAAAAGAAGAAAACATAATAATGAGTTAAAGCTGGTTAAAAGTTATGAAAAAAACTTTTAGCCGGCCAAACCACAAACTCTTTATAGTCGTGTTTCAAAGTGGCCACATCAAAACAAGAAATCTAAAAATATTAATCAGCTAATTGAAAAGATAAAAACAAACAGGGCAATAATGACCTTGGTGGGTGCCATTTTGATTAGATTGATTAAAGATTGCACAAAGCGGATATTTTATCTTTTCCAAAAGCTAGTCTTCAGCATCAGACCATGGCGCATATCAACTTCCAAAATGTCTTTCTTTGCTCACCGATGTATTATTTGATATTGTATATACAGTAGATAATTTTGTCCAGCGTAAACAGATCTCATTTGAACACGTGTAGAAGTCTTGTGACTGCATATCAATAAGTAACTTCCAAGGGTCTTCTCGGACATTGACCACATTGTGATGCGTAAAAGAAGACTCCAAATTAAAAAATTCATTACGTTATATAAAAAAATAAAAAATGGATAAATGTTGAGAAGAAGAGACTAGACAACGAGGATACAACAAATGAGGGTTCATTGACAAAATATTTGTCAGGTCAGGATATAGATATTTTGTGAGAATTAGCCATAGTGCCGACTTCAATGTCGTGAATCATCTCGAATAATCCAGCGGGGAAAAAAAAAAGAGGAGAAAATTATGGCTCCCCTCTCCGTGTTGCAATGACCCTCGGGTCCGACACACAGGAAGTTGGATATCACTGATGCTCTGCGCGCCATGCCTGCCGTACGTCCAATCGTTATACCCCATTACCAAGTCATTAGCTATATTCGCATGAAAATGTCATAATTTAAAATTTGAAGTTTGCAAAACCTCAAAGTTTATAGCACCATGTCACATGTCCAATTGTTTCACCCTGTTAAAGGTAATACAAAGTTTTGGTAAGGGATCATGAGTTTGGTTCAAATGAACATATTTGAAGCATATGCAATCCTACAATATTCAGTGATCATTGTAGCAGCTGAAATCGAGTCCAAAGTGATGAAATTGTAAATAATAAACTCTAAATGTTGTATAGCGCCCTCTCAAGGTCAATATATTAATTTAGCTATAAAACAATGTTCTTTGAATAAAATCGACCGATTTGCTATTACCGTTTGGAATATATATATATCACAACTACATATTCTGAGATTTTCATGGTTGCAGCTACCATCGTATGGTCGTAGGCGCTATTTGAGATTTATCTAAATTTACTGGGAGCACCGATAAATTTGTATACCGTAATTAACGGCGTATTAACCGCACCTTTTTGCCGCCGAAAAAAATTCAAAGTTGGGGGTGCGGTTTATACACATTTTTTTTTAAAGTTTCGATTTATGCCCCTCCACCTGGCGCTATGCCTGGCAATGTCTCCCAGCTCAGTAATCGGTGTGTTGACTCACCACTCGGAAACTAGAACAACACTCAAATTTGTCTGTCATCTTGGTTTGAAAGTAATCTTTCTGATAGATTTCAATATGTAGTTGATAATAATAATTCCTCCAATTTTTCTTCTATTACACGGCGTACCACAAGGTTCTATCCTACATGTAGGTCCTCTACTGTTTTTTAAGTCGGCAAAATATGAAAGTTAATGTGGTAGGATTAGCAAGTGGTGCTTGTAAAATGGTGACTGGCTGGAATGCTCCTAGGGGAGTGGAAAATGTGCATACATTGTGTTGTGGGTAAGCCTAAATCAGATGATCAGGGGTTTTAATATGTGCTGTGCATGCCTAGAAACAAAGTATTAGGGGCATTTTAAATGTGAGCTATTATTATTTATTATTATCTTAACTTGAGTGTGTCAGCATCATCGACCATAACTATCTATAGGATAATGTCAAAGTTAAAAACCACACGCTAAACTTGAAGTTTAGAGACTCTCATGTGAACCTTGCTATCGAGGGCCACCTGTCGCAGTCATCAAGCAGGTGCCCTACTCCAAGAATGGATCGGAGATAAATTAACAATTTTAACCCCTTTTATTCCTTCTTATTTTAGATTTGACACAAGTGCATCCCATTTTGGGAAGGAATGATCGTAGGGGAAGGCATTGAAGAAGCCAAACGTGACAACAGACTCCCTGATTGGTTATGAATTGTTTTCTCGACCAAGGCATTCACAGTGCCTCATGTGACTGAAGAAGCAGTTCCGTCCGTGTCGGCTTGCATGTTACTTGCTTGCATCAAAGTAATTTTCCCTTGTCACAGGAAACAATATCTGTTCGCAAAAATCACTATATTGCAACTGTACATGAAGGACGTTAGTCCTCCACACAGGAAAATGGCATTCGTTTTCATTTGTGTGTTTTGGGGGCCAAAAGGCTCATATGTATTCATAATAATAATATTGAATATTTAGGAGCACTGAAAACAATAAGTAACATAGTGCTTTACAAATACAAATATACGAAAAGAAGACAAAGTATATCTCAAAGGAGGTAGATCACATAGATCACTTGGGAAAAGGGTAAGTTTTGAGGAATCTTTTGAAAGTGGCAAGACAGGTAATTTCCCTTATGGAAAAAGGGATGCACATTTGCTTTCACCCCCTTGCCGCTACCATAAGTTTAATGAACACCATTTCTCCAGCTACTCATATTCAAACAATTCTAGATAATGATTTTGCCAACGGCATTGACCTGATTTTGTTTAGTGCAGAGCAAATGGGATTGGAGCTCACAAGAGTTGCCACTTTGTGTTTGATTGATCCCAACTTCATGTATTCTTAACTTTCTTATTCTTAATTGGTTTTTGCTCAAACTTTCATGGACCTGTTCCTCTCATTTTACTGCTTAAGCTTAATATCAGGCTGGCCTTCCCCCTTTAAGTTTAAGGTTGTTATGGATTCCCTTTTTTACCTCAAGTCACTGCAGCTTTTTAGGGTGTTAAATTTTAAAAATCCGATCTTTATGAAGAAAAAACAAAACAAACTGAATCAAATTGAAGTTCACCTCAGATGAACAACTTACGTTTGGTGAAGTTTGGTTCAGCATCGACGACCCAGATGATTTGACCTTTGTGTGTGCCGCTGACCCCGCGGTTCTTGTAGCTGAGGTAGCTGGCTGGGTTCCTTTCTCCTGGAAATAAACAAGATTGAAATGAATCAATGTCAAATTTCATGTCAACATAGAAGCTTCACTGGAAGTTAAAGGGAATCTTTCATAATTCAGTCATGACAGAAACAAACAAAACTTGTAGAATGGATAACAAAATATTATGGTATTTTCCAAATGATTATTGATTGATGAGATGTATTACATGACAGAATAATGAGCAAAGAAAGATAGGGAAAGTGAAAAGCTAGTGATACTGGTGAGACATTCTGAAATGTTCACATCGGGTATGTCTTCATCAGCTCGAGATTGCCAAATAGCCTGCTATTTCTGATTTGGGGAATAAGCCAGAAGTTACAAATCGCGTCTTCTTCAGCTCAAGACTAGACCTTGAAACTCAAGCTTGAGAAATTAGCTCGAGATATCTTGGTTAGCGTTCCCTCATAGTCAAGTCTCCGGGCTGGTGAAGGCGCACCAGACAAATAGCGGGATATTTTGCAAACTAGCCCAAGATATCTTTGGAGGACAAATAGCTGGATATTTTGCCAAATAGTGGATAATTTTGCAAAATATCCCAAGATATCTCTGGATGACAATCCCGACCAAATATCCCGCTAATTGCAAACTGCAGGCTAATGAAGACGCAAATTAGCTGGATAATTTGAGATCGAGATAGTTAAAATAGCGGGTTATTTGGCAATCTCCAGCTGATGAAGACAGGCCTTTTCAGTAATCTTGGTATATGGCAAACATATAACTTCCAGGGAGGTGGGGGAAGGCAAAAAATGAGAGACAAAAAGGAGGTTGGGTTGGGAAGAGGAACGTGAAATGAAGACGATTGCATGGCAATCGAAAAGGCTACACAGACCAACACTTTTCTAGGTAAAATGTCATCATACAGAGAGAGTGACTGAAATGGCTTGGTCAATAGGCAAGGGCAAAGAAGTAGCAACTATTCACTTTTTTCCCATTTTTTTCCAATTAGCAATGTCTGTTTTACAACTACAGTGCTAGTAATCAATCAATTCTCTCTACACTAGAATGCTTCTGAAACTTAGAGGGGCTACAATCTGTATCTCCAGCCTCACCTCAAGATTCATTCACAAATGAGACATGCATTTATAACTAAAAGATTTGACATCTGTATCTTAAAGCCTACATGTATCTCCACTAGTTTGGCCAGGAGGGATTAGACCTCCCTGCAAGGTCACTAACAGGTAGCTATCTCATTAACTCAACTCTCAACTAACATAAGAAAAAGAAGACCATGGGGACCAAGGGTCACCGCTTTATAGGCATTGTTTGCTGTATAGAGGGCGCAAGTAGCTACAGGTAGTGCAGTGGGGCTTGAAGATTCACAGATGAGGGAGATCATATGAGGGCCATTGTTGCACTCAGCATCGTATTACTATTTTTTTTAACATTTGCAACGCTGCCTCTTGCCATTCAATTATACATGTAGCTGCTGTCTTTGATTTCCTTCATCATGAATGTGTGTGAATGGGGGCTTAATCAACAATTGACAGCTAAACTTGTATATAAACTAAAGGCCACTCAAGGAAAACATGAAAACTGGTCTTTATAGGCAGGTAGCCTGTGTGTACAGGCTCTTTCAGTACAGGTTTAAATGAAAAACCATATTCAAGGGAATAACAAAATGTGGTCTTTCTGTACAGGTGGTCGTTACAGCAGGTTTGACTTGTAACACAGCTGTGCATGTAAGAGATCACAAATTCAATATTTCATTTCTGTGCCGTGCCCCCATTCTTCAAGTTTTAAAATAAAAAGGATTAAGACTATCAAACCCTTATAATTTTTTGCATTTTTCATGCTGCATCTAAATTAGACTATATTTTATCTGAACCCTGCATCGAGCTCCCCATACTTCAGGGTGGATTGATCAGAGACAGAAGATGTCCAGAACGGCACAATTCGGATCGAACTTCCGTCGTCGGGTCTCCTGTAACGATTGTCCTTTAATTGTGGATTGTGGAATGAGCATTGCAGAGCCGAAAGCCACCTCCTGTCATTTGGTGTGACTCATGCTTAATATCCTTCCTGCAATTCCACATGTAAACTCTGGCTTTTATTGATACTTTGACAGTTACATGCAGCCTGTCTACCTCAGAGACTGTGCTTGCTACAGGGTGCCCCAAAATAATGTGTAAAATCTAAGGCTGCGACGGGTAGTTGAATGCTCGAGTACCCGCACGGTTGTCAACTACTCGGGTACGATTTGTCGTACCCGAATATTCGGCCGCAAAAACAAAAACAAAAACAAAAAAAAACAAAAAAAATGTCCAGGCCCACGCCTACCCGTGCATGGGAGAGCGGCGGCCGCTGGCATAGTACCGTCGGTAAAAATGCTTCCCAACTCAAGCACTGTCAAACTCACCACTCAGAAACTGGGACCAAATGTCCAGATTTCTGTTTGGACTCGGAGGACAATGGATTATTCTGCCATCTTTGGTTTTTAAAACAGCATTGTTTACTGTTATTATTATTATTAAATCGGCGCCTTCAACTGCAACTCGAAGTAAAATTGCATGCGTTTTGGGCGATACTGGGATACTGCATCAATGGTATTATATGGTGGTGGCAAAAAAAATAAAAAATAAAAAAATAAAAAAAATAAAAAAATAAAAAGAATTAAAAAAAAATTTAAAAAAACAAAAAAAAAACATGGCGTCCGAATATTCGAGTATTCGCTTGTAAGCCTGGAAGTGTACTCGGGTACCTTATTACACTGTTGTGCACAGCCTTAGTAAAATCTACCTTTTATTGAAACTTTGACAGTAACAGTAAGTGTTTCTTTCCCCGTAGAGACCTTGCTTGCTACAGGGTGCCCAAAAATATTAACAAAAATATCTACTGTCTTCCTGAACTAAACAGAATTAGATGAAGAATTTTTTTTTTTAATCTCAATGTGAATAAAATTGTGTATCTTATATTCTTGTCCTTTTATTGAAACTCTGACAGTTACATGTAGCCTGCTTACCTACAATGTATCAAAGAGACCTTGCTTGCTACAGGGTGTCCCAAAACAATCAAACAATAACTATAACATCCTGCAAATTCTGTCTGTCTCGTGTATATTTCCCTTCTAAAAAAACTAAGATACGTCTGCTTGAATTAATAACTTGAATCATGTAAACTGTATCTTTTACGAATACTCTGAAAAGTACTACATACATGTATGAAGATGCATGTGATGGCTACACGGGTTTTAATACAGATGGTGCTAAAAAAAAAAAGGGTCCTTGTTAACGATGATTACCAATCTTTGTGGAAATGTAGATCTGGAGAGTCCAGCCTGTCAACGAATTGCTTTCCATGAAATCACGGAAATCGATTAGAGAAATAATTGGATTGCATTGTTTAAAAAACGACAAAATAAACTTTGTCTGTCATCACATCAAAATTACATTCTTACTCGGGCTGTTTTACTTCATTGTTTTGAAGCAATTAATGACTGTTGTGACGAGTGCCATTTAGGCTCTCGTAAATTGTTCAAGCTGTCATACTTGACAGACTTTTCTCTTCTTTTTTTTTACGGGGGGGGGGGGGGGGGGGGGGGATGTGTCTACGGTATTCAATGTTTAAATTTATCTATGATGACTGCCACACATTTTGATTCCTTCTTTTTCAACGTTTTTTGTTGTTGATAATCTCTCTATAAAAGTATTTGCGCAAGTCATGGTTTCATCTTGGGATGCAAAAATTCACCTGCTTCATCAAGAGACACCCTCAATTAACATAAGAAAAAGGGGATCATGGGGGACCAATGGTCACCGATTAGGCATTGTTTGCTATATAGAGGGCACAAGTAGCTATACGTAGTGCAGTGGGCTTTAAGGGATAGTTGAGTTCTGTTTTCAGACTGCAAAGGTCTTCAAAGTGCATGGTTATTGCTCTTATTCTTATCTATGACATTTCTAGTGCCCTTTGAGGAACTAAAATTGCTTTTAGAAATCGTTATATTTATGGATAATTCAGCCATCTCTGAACTGATTTTGATCAAACAAAGATGATTTTGTCATTTAAATTGTATGTTCTTTCAAAATTGCCACTCAGCTTTTCATTATCTCACAAAAAAATTATTTTGTGTAGCGCCCTCTGCAACAGAACTCAACTATCAATGGAAAGTTTGATAGAATGAAAGGATGATAGGATGAAAGACCTCCTGGGCATGACATTAGCTACAAACCTGACTCACATACCCCGTTCCTTCCTGCCCTGATCTAAACCCACTTTATTACATGACAGTTGGGTGTCTCTACAATGCACAAGGTGTCTCAAAATCAGTGATCTGACATTCCGCCGGGCCTCTTTGCATCAAAGATATTAGGTCAAGGCTTGGGTCAAGGCTTGGGCCATGGCTTGGGCCAAGGCTTGGGTTGTATGGCTAGGGTTAGGAACTTAGGATTAGGGTTGGGTACATTGCTGCGTCTTGTGTTGAAGGTGGATGTCTGCTCTGATCCAAACCCACTTTATAACACAACAGTTGGATGTCCCTATGATTTACAAGGTGTCTCAAGATAAATGATCTGACATTTCGCTGGGCCTCTTTGCTTCAATGATATGGGGTCAAGGCTTTGGTTGTACAGTTAATAGGGTTTTGGTTAGGGTTGGGTAAATTGCTGCTGGTATCTAACCTTAACCCGAACTGGTCAACCTAGTCCCAACCAAAGCCGTGGCCCAATATCTTTGAAGCAAAGAGGCCCGGTGAAATGTCAGATCATTGTTGAAACAAGAAATTTGGTTATTTTTCGAAATTTTTGCCAAAGCATGAATACTCTACAAGTTTAGATCGAAACTGTTATGTTTAAGAAATCTCACTTTTTAAAATATTAATAATAGGTTCATTTATATAGTGCAGCTACTATATGTATATGAAAAGTATAAATATTATCTCTTGCCCTTTATGCAAAGTATCATTAAAACCCGGCTGTAACTGAGCCGCCATAATTTGGCGCTATACAAAGTAGCATTCAACGAATTCTTCCTACTGGGTACCCATTTACTTCAGCTGGGTGGAGAGTGGCAAATGTAGATTATTATCTTTCCAAATAGTCATTAGTGCCGCGGAGGGACCCCGACCGCAAACCATGTGATCCATAGTCCGGTGACGTATCCACTAGACCATAAGGCCTCTACAAACAGATGTGTTTACCTATAGAGGGAGCTATTGTTATCTTTAAGAGCTACAGAACTGAGTTTGCCAGTGTTTCTGTCATACATGTAGCCTCTTTATAATATTGCTACATGTATCTGTTGTGTCTTTGATGATCACTGTCCAGTGTCAACATAAGAAAAAGATACTTATTCAAAAAGACACCCCCCCCCCCCCCAAAAAAAAAAAAAAAAAATGCTCTAAAGACTAAAGGAATCTTGCTTGTTTATTACAAAAGGAAGAAGTACATGTATCGATAAATGGACTAATAACATCTAGAAGAAACCGTCAAGTGACCACAAACAAGAAGAGAGTGGGTGGGGGAATGAACTCCCCCCCCCCCCCCCCCGCAAAAAAAAAAAAAAATGCTTTAAAAAAGAATCTTGCTTGTTAATTACAAAAGGAAGAAGTACATGTACAGTACATGTATCAATGAATGGACTGATAACATCTAGAAGAAACCGTCAAGTGACCACAAACAAGAAGAGAGTGGAAGGGGGGAATGAGGGAGGGTAGAATGGGGTGGAAGAGGAGAGGAGGAGGAGAGAGAGAGAGAAAGAGAGACAAAATGAGATGGACAGAGAGAGAGAGAGAGAAAGAGGGAAATTCTATAGCAATTTCTGGGACATTAATGGAATAGCATCCACAGTAACTAGTATTGATTAACCAACAGAGGGCAGCAAACATATTACAGATTATGTACCATTTAGTCAATACTCTGATGCCATTGGGGTGAATAGCATGACACAAGTACAATAAATAGTCCTGACCTTACCTTCGATTTAGACACAATTCCACAACTACCAGTATATACATTGTATATCCTTCCTTTCAAAGGAAAACAAGGTCAATTCACACAGGTTAAACATGGATAGTACAAACACAGCTGAAATAGTGCATGCAAATTAGAGTGTATACTTTTCATTGCTACTTGAGTTCTATATATCTGTACATACAGTATGTATACATGTAGGAGAAACCATTTCACTGCATGCTATCATTCCATTCCCTTGCATTTCATTAGAACTGTACACAAGAAAAAGTCAAAAGCCCTAACATGGATGCTTTAATAATATACTTTGGGTGTTATTAAGTGTGTATGGTTACTTGCTATACATGTACATGTAGGCTATTTTTATAATGTAATCAAAATTAATGCATGAATCTTTTCAAAGTGCCTTGTTACCAATTATTTCATTCACCTGTTATACATAATTGTATTTCAATAGTCAGAATGCAGATTGCATACATTACATGTTGTTAGGTAAGACGAGCCATAATGTTTGTCCTACCTAGCAACAATTAATGTATGCAATTCACATTTTGACTATTGAAATACAATTATTTGTAACCGGTGAGGGAAATAATCGACTACGAAAATTGTCTATTCAGAGACCTTTGCCCGAATTATTGGCTTTATTTTATTATTTCTCTATCACTGCTGAACTTTGGTCTTGGCTAATGCACATTGTACAAATACTTATAAAATCCTGAAGAATGCCATAAATGGTAGACAGGCAAATATTGCACCCAAATTCAACTGATATTTTTGATGTAACAAAGCAAGTCAGAAGGTAATTATTTATACAGGTGTACACAATCGCAAATATTATGACTTGCAAAAAAGTAATATTCATATCAAATATTTAAAAAATCATCTGATGTCAGCGCAAATCTAGTAGGAGGGTGAGGTAATTTTTGCTTATTATTCATTTCTAACTAATTATTTTATCTTTCTTTTTTTTCTCCTTTTTTTCTCCTTTTTTTCTATTTTTACAGGGGGGGGGGGGAATTTACATGTACATTGTAGCTTTAAACCTAAAAGATAAGCAACCAGTGGACAGACATTTAAAGTCCCACCAACAGGATTTGTTGGGGAATAGATGATAAATGCCCTACTAAGAACACTCACAATTCAAACTTTTATCATTATTACATGTACGTATTTGATGTTGCCTGTGCCTGCATGGAAGGGTATAATTGAACTGAATCATGCCATTCTCTGGTCTCTTCTCCCGGAAGAACTGATTGGCGATGTGCAGGTGGACCACCACATCACACATGTATACAAATAATGGAGTGGGTTCTTAATATGCCAAGGTGGCGACTCCTATACAAGGGGCCTCCATTTAACGTCCTATCCGAGGGACGGAAAGATTTTCACTGTAACATGGCCTACATCTACTGTATGGAACGGGGGAGGGCATGTTAAAGGTAATACAAAGTTTTGGTATGGGGTCATGAATTTGGTTCAAATGAACATATTGGAAGCATATACGATCCTACAATATTCAGTGATCGTTGTCGCGGTCGAAATCGACTCTAAAGTTATGAAATGTAAATAATAAACATTTTATGTTGAATAGCCCCCTCTCAAGGTCAAGATATTAATGAAGGTATAAAACATTGTTTATTGACTAAAATCAACCGATTAGCTATTGTCGTTCGGAAATTATATACCACAACTACAAACTCTGAGATTTTCATGGTCGCAGCTACCATTGTACGGCCGTAGGAGCTATTTGAAATTCATCAAAATTTACCGGAGCACCGGTAAATCTTTATATTCAATTTTTCTCGAAAGCAGAAGTGTTTCAGGGGCTAAAATTGCTGGTGTTTTTAATACATCCACTGGGGCATTCAAATATATCATAATTGTAAAGAATTACTATCCACCCATTTTTCAAAATTTCCCAAAACTTTGTAATACCTTTAACACCTAACGCTGGCTTCAGTCATCCGCCTGGGTTGGATTCGAACCCAGGGTCTTTGGGTTGACAGGCAGACGCCTCACCGACTGAGTCAAAGGAAACGCAACGGCTCAGTGGGAGAGCAGTGGTCTTTTATTAAACCAGGAGGTGCCGGGTTCTTAATGAAGCCAAGGCACTACTGCTCATTACCAAGTCCCTTGGAGAAGACTTAAAGCAGTCGGTATTCTGGTTGCTTACTAACAAGCATACACATGCTTTCTTAGCAGTCAACAAACCACCAAACATATTCCCTTCCAAGGTTTCAAACCCCAGACCTGCAGTGTTCTGCCAGTAGGACATGATGGTTCTAGGACACCTACCCCTGGACATTCACCTCCCGGATAACCACCCCCAGTCAACTACCCCCAGACAACTACCCCCTAGGGCAACCACCCTCTAGGACGACTACCCCCTAGGACAACTACCTCCTCCCCCCCCCCCCCCCCAGGACAACTACCTCCCGGACAACTACCTCCCGGACAACTACCCCCCAGAAAACTACCCCCTAGAAAACTACCCCCTAGGACAACTACCCCCTAGAACAACTACCCCCCCCCCCCCCCGGACAACTACCCCCAGACAACTACCCCCTATGACAACCATCCTCTAGGACGACTACGCCCTGGACAACTATCCTAGGGGGTAGTTGTCTGGGGGGTAGTTAACTGGGGATGTTTATCCGGGGGATGGATGTCCAGGGGGTGGGTGTCCGGATACGGGCCATGACACCTCAAATACATCCAAATGAATGACTTTTGTATTGACTTAATGATATCAAGAGGATGTGTCGCAATTGTTTTTTTTACTTAATGATCTTCTATCAGTACAAACATGCGGATGACTAAGCATCAAAGTCTAGAACAAGGTCGACAAAAGGTTTACGACAATGCGATGTGTCTCCTATAAATTCTGCTTAGCTCATCTGTTAATCGAGACCGATCAGGATCTGAACTGACCATAAAGTTAACCAATCACCTCAAAAACAAAGAGTTTGTGTCAACTACAATAGAGTACCGAAGCTGTGACGTCATAAAAATCTATTTTTAGAATTTCTCAATTTTTTCTTCATTTTCCAAAAGAACATCAAAAATAATGTCCAAATGTCGAAAACCAATTGAATATGTTAGATATTGGCTGAGATATGACCATCTGAATAAATATACTCCCCATAGGAACTCAGTGTTATATGCTCAGGCTCCTAATGGTTAGGAGCCAGAGCATATAACACTGAGCTCCCATAGGACATATATTCATTCAGATGGTGATATCTCAGCCAATACTTAACATATTCAATTGGTTTTCGACATTTGGACATTATTTTTGATGTTCTTTCGGAAGATGAAGAAAAAAATTGAGAAATTCTAAAAATAAATTTTTGATGACGTCACACTTCACCACTCTATGAAACTTAACTCTAAGAGGAAAAGAGAACCTTTTATCTGTTATTTTTATGTGATCTCCTTTTTCCTCTTCTTTTTCTTTTTTTCCACAAGTGCACCTTGAGCATTCCAATTTATTTGGATTTGGCTATAATGGTTATATTACGAAAATTGACTGTTCTGCACCTTACAATAATAATAATAATAATAATATTTAGCTTTTATATAGTGCTTAATACAATGCCTCTAAGCGCTTTACAAATATACAATGCACACTCTCCGCTCCTCTTGGGGAGCATACCTACCGATGAGATAAAGACCGATCCAGTCCTGTGACCCGACGTCTTCCCTGATGTCCCAGGTCACATTGGCACTAGCGCTGTCCCCATGGTCACCTCCCAGGATGATCTCATTCTTGCTGACCATCAGACTGGACTGGTGTCCGGCCCTTCGCTGCAGGTCGGGGTGGGCCAGGTTGGAGTCGCTGCTTGACCGGTGTTGCTCTGAGAGCCGACCCATGTGTCGGATTGACGGGAAGGGCTGCATGGTGGCCAGGCCGAGCCGGTCCTGGATGGATCGGTTGCTGCTGGGCGACCGCCCCGATCCCCGCTCTACTTGTCCTCCTCTTGCATTAAGCGTTGCCATTTTGCTGCGTGCTCTCTCCCGCATGCTTCACCTGGTCTCTCGAGTCCTAGCAGCCTCTCCTCAGGATCATGTAGGCCAGACTCAACAGGTGGAAGGACGCCCTCACTTGGTGGTGAAAGGAAACTAGTCGCTCTGGAAGGATTGGAGCTTGCAGATAAAGTTGTGTCTGTGATCAATCTAGTAACTTTATTCCTTGGAATAACATCTTCCTAATGGTGAAAATAAGGAGAGTATAGAAAGAATAAGACATTTGAAAGGTAAAATATCTTGAGATTTGAAGGATATTCAGAAGGAAATCCTCCTAAACATTATGACTCATGAAATAACACACTCTTGTGCTGGCAAGATCAAATTTCAGCAATGTATGAACTGCCACTATCAACCAACTAGCAACAATGTAACATTGTACCCATTTTCAAACCTGTTGATTAAGGCCAAGTGCTGTACATAAACTGAAGAAATAATTGCCATACACAAATGGCCTTTCCAGAAACATGTACATGTAGGTTGTGCAAAAACAAAGAAGCATTTTTCTATTTTTACATTGACAAAAATATTTTACTGTATGTTCTAAGAAAGTATGGATGATAATTTCAAACTCAATTCATGAACATGCAAGCCGCGCTGGTCTCAAGTTTGAGGCACAGTGCATACATGTACATAGTCCATCTTTATGAGTAATCATTGATTATTGGAAAATTGCCCATATCTCCACATACATGTACATGTACTTGTGTAAACAAATTATGATGTTACGATGGACTAAGCAATCATGTAAATGCTGGATCATCCTCGGTGCATCAATAAAAGAATATTCAACCTGTTAACCTCAAAACAGGATATCATTTTCTCGCAGTTACGGATACTTCCAGGTATTGAAAAAGATATATATGAATCATTATTTCAGAGAACATAAACAAATAATATTTTCAAGAATAGGCATGGGTAATGTTAAAGTGACTTTGTAACATTGTTCAGATGAGAGAAAGTGGTGCTAAGGTAGTGACTTCAATGCTACATGTAGATGTACAATTAAAGATAATCTGAAAATTTGAGCGAAAAAGGACTATTATTCATCGTACAAATTGGGAAAAACTGATCCGATCAATTCCTTAATTCTCCCAACTATATTAGTAGAATTTAATTACATGTTAGGTGAATAGAAATCTCACAAAGCAATAAAATGGCTCTACATTCCATTCCAGACATTTAAGTGTTGACAGATTTTTAATAGCCTGTTTTTATGTCTTTTTTTCATGGAAAAACGGTTGGGAAAATTTAAAAATGGTTGGGAGAATTTAGATTCACAAGCGCCTCCCATCGACGCCCATTCGAAAACCCGTTGAACTTTGTTAAAAATCTTCATACTGCGTGAATTCATTTCGGATTTGGGGCATCGTAGTTGGATAATCCATACATACACACATAATTTTATGTGTTTTGCATCTTGATTCAACAGATTTGTGAAATCAACCATCACAATGTCACTCAGTACCTTTAAGTAATTTTTAAATTATTTTTTAATACACTTTTATCTCAGTCATAAAGTACATTTCAGACATGCAAGTTGAATTAATAAGAAGGGCTGGTGTTGCATATTACCATAAAGTTTAGGGTAATGTGCAATTGCTTTTCATTGTCATATTTTACAGTCTATGATGAAAACATTTGTCTGTTCGGAGCCATAACCGTGAGTCTAAATAGATCTATCAATTGGTCACTTTGAACAAAAACACATTTTGTACATAAACAATTAAAACAGCATGTTCCTTTCATGAAAAAATAAATTATCAAGCCTTTGTTACATTGGCTAAAAGCAGTATAGTCCACAGCTCAACAGCCCACCATCCTGACGGCACATGAGAACAACGTATCGGTCTTGCTGAGTTTCTGACCACTTTTCTAAAGGTGGCAAAGACTGACATTTTAGTCTTGTTGGCTGTTGGTTTACATGGATTTCTCTCCTACAAAAACTCGCCATACAAACCTACAGTTACAACATTTACAAGGAAACTTACAATTATGGTAGGTCCTCTAAACGACTATTTCTTCTTACACGTACAGTATGTGCTGCATTTAATAAGTTTAATTGGCAACAGCCTAGCCTTTTACTCTGAACATATATCCACTCACGCACTTTTGATGGTCGCGGCTGAATTTCTACTCCAGTAAACAGAAAAACCTTCACAATTTCCAAGTAATACAATTTCAGTTTATATAGCTACAGTATGTCATGCAACCATTACCTTGTTGCAGTTATTGCACATTAAACTCAAATAAACATACACAGGACATAGGAAACAACAATAACTGCATTTTATTACACAGCACGAGTTTCACAGATTAATACCGGGTATACAGGGTGTACCAATTTTTGCTTGTCTGGTCTTCTCGCTTCCGTGCTAACGCATGCAGGGCACCGACGAGTGGCGCATGCGCACTACTCACCCCAAAAAATTGGTATGAGCAAACTTCAATGGTTTTCCAGTAGTCCAAAAAATTGATGATTTTTCAAAAAGGTGTTTGGGATGTGTAAATGGGCCTAGCTAGTGTGGACTTTGTGGCTCAGCTCATGTTGACTAAATGCGCACAATGTGTAAATTGATTGCATCCCGCAATTTTCGCTGACAACGGATGATGACCCGAAACAATCTCTTCTTTCTGTCTATTGGAAAGACAATGACAAGCTGATTTGTGTTCATTGACTGAATGAGTAAACGTCTATTTTGATGAACAGTTGTGGTTCCCAAGAACATTGAGCGCTATTTTGGAGGTGAATGAGTACTTCTCGAAGCTGTATTAAACACTTCCTTTCCCATTAATACAGGGGTGAGGTTAAATTAGGCCTACACTACTAACACTCAGTCATGGGTCATACACGTAAACAAGCGTTTAAGAATGCTCAGTCTGAATCTTCCTTGAAAATTTATCTACATGTATAAAATTATAAAACATTAGGCCCATTTCAATTGCCATAAAACAATTTTAAAACATTTTTTTTTAAATTTACTATTTACGTGTACACTACTGGACAAATCAATCAAAAACATCAGTATTTATTTATTGTTATTTGGTGGGTATCAATATAAAGAAAACAATAAGTGGATAGTGAGGCAATGACGTAACAGACTCATGAGTGAGATGCCAACTTGTCTTGTGATTTTCAAAGTTTTTCTTGTCATTAAAAATTCTTAACTTTCTTATCCATTATCCGATTTTGCTCAAACTTTTTTTGATTGGTTTGTCTGATTGTTCTGCTTCTATTAAAAAGTAAGCTATTGTTGGAGTGGATCTGCCCTTTAACTTACCGGTAAGTAAAACAAGTCATCGTTGTTTTTAGAGCGTGCATTTACACTTTAAAAACTGGCAGAGCTTTTGACAGAGGGTTTTTGAATTAGGATTTTGTCTTGTTTATGGGTACCGGTAGTCGCTTTCATGTAGCGACTACCATCATCATTCAGGAATGTGAGAAAAATCAATGGTTTTGTTGCTTCCAGTGTATGGAATTTTATGCCCCTTTCGACTGAAATGTTAGCTTCTGAATTTGTGTCAGGTTTCCACATACATGTACATTATACTGCTAACAGAATGACATGACAAGCCATTATCCTACATGCGTCAAAGGCTTTGCTGGTACAGGATGTATCAGTGGCGGATCCAGGGGGGGGGGGGGGGGCCGGACCGCACCTCTCCCCCCCCCCCCCCCATGGAAAAAAAAGAGTAAAAACACGTTAATTTTACCTTTTTTTGGAGATGGACCCCCAAACCCCCTGACACTCAAGGGGGGGGGGGGGGGAGTGAGATTTTTCAAATTTTTGAGGGCCAAAAAAAATAATTAGTGCTCGCTACCCCCCCCCCCCCACACACACACACACACACACTACCCTACAAATTGTAAACAATTATAGACTTTCTTTCAAGGTAGTTTTTACAAACACGTCAATCTCCGTCATATTTTTGAGATGAGAGGAGTTTAAGAGAACAGGAAGCAATCAAGAACTGGTCTTGTTTTGGAAGGAAATGAAATTAGAGAGGAAATGACACTGATGTTCAAGTGGGTGTACCTGAAAGTTGACGCTAAAAAAGTGCAGAATAAGTACCAAAAAACATCCGTAATCTGTGTCATGCTTAAGCTTAATATTATCATTAGTGTATGAGCATGACTGAAAACAATTAAACATGTACATACAAGACTGTCTAGCCAAAGGGAGACACAATGAAAGAGTGATCTTCAGAGCAAAGTGGTCTTTATAGACAGGTTTCCTATTACACATGTAACAGGTTTATCTGAGAGGATATCAAATGAATAAGTGCTCAATTAGGTGTTTGTCAATCCTTAACTCCCTCCTTAACATCAAAAGGAAAAGACAACTTTATAGGTTGTTGGGCATATTACGAGAAGAGAAGGCTCAGAAAACAGGATACCGACAGGAAAAATTGAGGGAGAAAGGACATCAAATACATGGAAAAGTTCATTAGGCCGACTGGTAAACAGAAGGAACGTCACATTTCAAAGAACCAGATATACATGTACAGTACATGTAGAAGTAGATGGAAAGCCTTGGTCGCCATTGTCTGGAGCAGACAAGGCACCTTTCAAGCAAGGAAACAACGTATTTATCAATTTTATGGGAAACACAATTTTAAGGGAAACACAATTTTAAGGGAAACAAAAAAATAAGGTCCTTATAAGACAGGAAGTCGCTTTTAAAGCAAGTTATGGACTGTTTCAAAGTGGAGAGTGATTTACAAGTACATGTACCTGTACATGTATACACTGTATACTTTTGGAAAGCCCAGAAATGAGCAGAGCCCTTGTTAAAAAGACAATAAAATACACACAAAAGATCACTCAGGAAAATCTCACCGTTCATAGCAAATTCCAAAAGAGATCCATACACGAAAAATATGCTTTAAAATGCAATGAACACTGTATAGGCTAGGGATAGAAAAAAATACAAGGCCCATGGAAAAGGTCCATAAATTTTGGGCAAGTTTGTTTTAAAACATGACAACTCTATGTCCCAGTGCAGTGATGTAGCTGATGGAAAAACCTTTTAAACATTTTTATCTATCATAAACAAAAGAAGTGGAGTGTGCCTTTATCATCCTTTACGGTAAACAAGAAGAAACCTATAAAATCATCCCCCCCCCCTTCTTTTTGTCTTTATTCCCCCAAATACACAACAGCAAAAGATGGCCATGGATT